CTCTATTCAGCTTCTATACGTTCCTGTTCTCTGGTGTCTATTCCTTCAATGGCCTATTGCATCTTATCCATTCTGCTTATAAATCCTTCCAGGGTTTGTTTCACTTCTGTGATCTCCTTCCTGACATCTGTGATCTCCTTCTGGACTTCATCCCATTGCTCTTGCATTTTTCTCTGCATCTCATCCCATTGCTCTTGCATTTTTCTCTGTATCTCTGTCAGCACGTTCATGATTTTTATTTTGAATTCTTTTTCAGGAAGACTGGTTAGGTCTGTCTCCTTCTCGGGTGTTGTCTCTGTGATCTTTGTCTGCCTGTAGTTTTGCCTTTTCATGGTGCTAGAGATAGTTTGCAGTGCTGGTATGAATGACAGCTGGGAGAGCTTTCCTTCTTGTTGGTTTGTGGCCTTCCTCTCCTGGGAGAATAGCGACCTCTAGTGGCTGATGCTTGGCAGCTGTGTACAGACATGGCTTCAGCTACCTGCCCGGTTGGTTTGGAGTTTATCTTCACTGTTGCTGTGGTTGGGCCTGGCTGGGGCTGCTCCTCCAAAATGGTGGAGCGCCGTTCGAGGGGGAGCGGCCACGAGGCTATTTATCTCTCTAAGGGGCCTCTGTGCTCCCTGTTGCCCAGGGGGTTAGAGTGCCCAGAGATCCCCAGATTCCCTGCATCTGGGCTAAGTGTCCTGTCCTGCCCCTTTAAGACTTGCAAAAAGCACTCTCCAAACCAAAATAACAACAGCAATAACGAAAGAGAAAGAAAAAAAGGGAAAAATGCGCGATTTTCTTTGTCCTCAGTTGCTGGTCTCAGGCACCTGCTCACCGGTCTTGCAGCCCTGTTTCCCTAGTATTGGGGTCCCTGTCCCTTTACGGCTTCCAAAATAGGGAAAAACGCGTGATTTTCTTTGTCCTCAGGCGCCGGTCTCAGTTACCCGCTTACCGGTCTTGCTGCCATGTTTCCCTAGTATTGGGCTCCCTGTCCCTTTAAGGCTTCCAAAGAGCACTTGCCAAAAAAAAGGGAAAAATGCGCGATTTTCTTTGTCCTCAGGCGCAGGTCTCAGGCACCCGCTCACCGGTCTTGCTGCCCTGTTTCCCTAGTATTGGGTTCCTTGTCCCTTAAAGGCTTCCAAAAAGCACTCGCCAAAAAAAAAAGGGAAAAACGCGTGATTTTCTTTGTCCTCAGGTGCTGGTCTCAGGCACCCGCTCACCGGTCTTGCTGCCCTGTTTCCCTAGTATTGGGGTCCCTGTCCCTTTAAGGCTTCCAAGAAGCACTCACACAAAAAAAAAACTGCTCCCGTTTCTTTGTTCTCAGGTGTCAGCCTCAGGCACCCGCTCCCCGGTTCTGCCGCCCTGTTTCCCTAGTATTCAGGACCCCACACATGCACTGTTTCTGCGCTCTGGTCCGGAATCCTGGGGTTGGGTGTTCAGCAGTCCTGGGCTCTCTCTCCCTCCCATCTGACTCCTCTCCACCCGCCAGGGGCCAGGGGGAGCGGTGCTCGGGTCCCGCCGGTCCGGGGCTAGTATCTTACCCCCTTCGTGAGGCGCTGGGTTCTCATAGGTGTGGATGTGATCTGGATGTTGTCCTGTGTCCTCTGGTCTCTATTTTAGGAAGAGTTGTGTTTGTTATATTTTCATGGATATATGTGGTTTTGGGAGGAGATTTCCGCTGCTCTACTCATGCCGCCATCCTGGCTCTGCCCAGCAGCATTTTTTAATAATAAAGTATTTTTTAATTGAAGTGTGCACATTGTTTTTTGACAAAATGCTGTATTGCACACTTAAATGGTACAGTGTAAATGTAATTTGTTCATGCACTGGGAAATTAAAAAATTCATTTGGCTGTTTTTTTTGTAATATTTGCTTTTTTTCATGGCCTGGAATTGAGCCTCAATATATCTGAGGTATGCTGTGTTTGAGAGACCATGATTTTGATTTTCTTTTTTCAGAAAGGAAATTATCATGATGAAAGAAGCAAAATATTTTAGATTTCTGTGATTTATTTTGTTTAAACTCTACTCAGATCTCTATTTCTGCCACATTGTTACAGATATTCCTTAGGAAAATTATGTTGTAATTTAGTAATTCTTTAACATGGGAAGGCCCTCATAATACTGAGTTGTAGACATCTCTTAAATCAAACACACGTGATGACAGAGCAAAAATTTTAATGATCTTTAACAAAATATTTTAATACATATTTTATTTGTATTTTAGTCCTCTTTTATTATCTGTCTAGAAATTTATACGTTAAACTTGTTTTTACCCTATTAGGGTATAATAAAATGTGATTAATTTTGTGGTTTCGTATCTTTGGTCTTTATAAGGTGATGGTGAGGTCATAGAACAGGTTATTGGGCAACAAACCAATGACCAAGATGAGAGCATTCTTGATGGAATTATCCGGGAGCTACAGAGAGAACAAGATCTGAGACTAATTAATGATGGAGCTATTCCACATTTTCCAATTAATAGGTCATATTCTGCTAGTGGTGGTAAGTATGTATATATGTGTAAAAGGTAAGATAAATGTGTTGTAATTATTTTACTTGTGCGAAGTAATTCTACATGGGGAACATTTTAGTTTTTTTGAAAAATAATTCTATTAATGTACAATTTTGATATTAGATATGCCAAAGAGCCATGATCTCATTTTCATTTGTGGCTTAAATGACCTAGCTTCTCTTAAGAAGTACAGGTGGTGTATTTTAATGTGCTATTTTCCTTTAGCTTAATAATGTATTTGCAGTCTTTACTTTTGTTCTAGTAAGTGAGATACTGTAATAAATCCAGTCCCTATGTAGAGGAACCAACCTATAAAGTTTTCAAAATTAAATCCACTGTAAGTTTAAAAATTAGTAGAAAAAAAATTCCCCTTGTTGACAGAAAGTATCATCTTCTTCTTTTGCATTTCCAGTAATGCCCTGGAAGACAAGGAGCCCTTTTCTTAGGGAATACAGATGCAGCTTCTGAATAGACTTTCACAAGTTTGATCTTAATTACCACTATTATTTTAACCTACTGTATCTCTTCCTTCACTCTCCATGAAATTTGCCTATGCATCTGAATTTTATATAAATCTTAGGTTGTGTCAGTTTTATCTTTATCAAGTATTATTAGTTCTATTTTAAAATCAGTCCTCTTATGGAGTTTTTACAAATGTTTTTCTTTTTATATTGACACAATGGGGATCATTTATTTGGGTATCATGGCATTTTGGAGTCTAAGAAATGAATAAGGTGTTTTAAATTTAAGGTGATTCATAGAGTATTTTACTCATTTCCTGATTTCTTTAGTATCCCATAAAATTAAAATAAAAACATTCTTTGTTCAGGTCATTTGAAGCACCTAACTCAGATAAGTTTTCCTTAACGTGAAATATAAAGTGAGCTGATAATCCTGTATATCCAGGTCTTTTGTGTCTAAGACATGAAACTTCCTTAGAACCCTAATTTAGAGATCCATTAATGAAATCAGCATTCAGTTCTACCTTAAATATTAGGTTTCTATAGATAAATTTGAAATTCTGTTAGTCAAAGGGACTCCATTGACTTCTATTTGTGATGTTCATTTAACTTTTTCAGTGCTTATTTCATGAATTGAATGTTTTAATTTCCATTTTGGTTTTATTTGCAAATACAATAAAAATTAACAGCAACCTTTCTAGAGGATTAAGAAGAAAAGTTTCATTTCTTTTGTCCATTGCTTATCAATTTTGAAAATGAAAATTTGATATATAAAATTTTTTTGTTTACATTTTTCTCTTAGTGTTTTTGATAGCCTTATTTAAACTTTATTCAGAAACTTTTTATCAGGTTAAAGAAATACAGAATGTAGATTACAAAGGTGCTTTTATGAACTAGTACTAATAAACATTTGTGCATCTACCAAATCATATTAAATTTACTTTTCAAATTTATGAAGAATTTAGTAGATGACAGATGTGAAAGTTTTAAAGAGAATTAAAAGAGCCATAGAAACTTTAAACATTTATTGAGTGCCTGCATTATCCTTAACACTATAAAAACCATACAGGGGTATAGAAAATGTAGAACAAAGGGATAGCAATAATATCCAGCAGTGAAAACTTTGTATCTCCTGTTTTATTTAGTCTTATGATCTGGGAGAGTTTGGTAACTTTGCTCAGAAAGTGGTGCCTTCCTTTTTTTTTTGGTTTAGCTTTCAGAATTGCAAATATGGACATATCTTCTTCCCCAAATATTGGGCTCCGACGCAGTGGTCAAATTGAAGGAGTCCGGCAAATGCATAACAATGCTCCTCGGAGCCAGATGGCCACTGAACGAGATCTCATGGCATGGAGCAGAAGAGTTGTGGTCAATGAACTAAATAATGGAGTTTGTAGGTGAGTTTATAGGGTAACAGTTTTAAGAAAACAGGCTTTATTTTTGAGTTAATAAGATAAAATGTGCTATGTCAACCTAAAAATTAAGGTATTTTTTTAATCTAGCTGAGTCATCTGTTAGTTTTTCTACATTATTCCAGTTAGTTCATTCTATAACTATTTAACAGTTATCATACTTTTGCTTAGCTTTGTGCTAAACGGTATATGAAATACTGAAAAATGAAACATATGATTTCTGTCTTCCATGCATTCATAATCTAGGTTAGAAGATAAGAATACAAATTCTATTAGTAGGAGCATGAACCCATATGTGATTAAATATGTCAGTGATGTACCCAAAATTCAATAGTGGTTCTGAGGAGAAGACCATCAACTCAATATTGGAGCAGTTTGGAGTGCAATATAGATATGTAATAGACCCTAGTGCTTAGGATATATTTAGAAATGTCATTTAAGTAGGCTTCCTTGGATAAAAGGATTTCATTAGGATGGATTTCAAACATAGAATCCCTATTCTCATTTGTAAATCCTTATATTTGCTGTAATACCAAATCCATATAATCCACAGAAACTAAAAATAGACTTAGAAAAGAGAAAGGACATTAAGAGAGAACATAAAGAAATCTGTTTTAATCATGTTCTCTCCCTAACCAAACCTTATACCAGCTCAGCCAGCAAATAGCAAAATTAATTTGGTTTCACCTTTTTTTCTTAAGCAGTAATAACAAAAAAGGAGACAGCTAACTTATGAACTGTATGCTATGCCTTGCAGTAGAATAATTCAAAATAATTCTTTGCTCAAAATGTTAAAAGTAGAATTGAAAGCAGGAACTCAAATAGATACTTGTATGCCAGTGTTCATTACAGCATTATTCACAATAGCCAAACAACAGAAACAACTCAAGTATCTGTCAACATATGAAAGGATAAACAAAATGTGATATATACATACTGTGGGATATTATTCAGCCATAAAAAGGAATGAAGTTCTCATCATGTTACATGATAAACATTGAAAACATTGTGCTAAGTGAGGTAAGACAAACACAAAAGGGCAAGTAGCATATGATTCCACTTATATGAAATATCTAGAATAGGAAAATTTCATAGAGATAAAGTTGATTAGACATTAACAGGCTTGTGGAAAGAGAAGTATAGAAGTATTGCTTAATTGTTATGAAGTTTACATTTGGAGTGATGAAAAGTTTTCATCACTAGTGGTGATGGTTGTACAACATTGAACTGTTATTAACACCACTGAATTGTACACCTAAAAATAGCTAAAATGACAAATTTTACATCTAAATGTATTTTGGTTAAAAAACAGAGGTAGACTCAAATACAGAATACAGATGGGTATTTGCTAGAGGGGAGGTAGGTGAGCGGTGGGTGATGTAGGTGAAGTGGATAAATTGGTATAAACTTTCAGTCCTAAAATAAGTCGCAGGGATAAAAAGTACAGCACAGGGAGTATAGTCAATAATATTGTAATAACTTTGTATGATGACAGTGATTTCACTTTTTGTGCTGAACATTTTAGAACATATATAATTGTGAAATCACTATGTTGTACACTCAATTAATATAATGCTGTATGTCAACTGTACTTCAATTTAAAAAATTAAGTTATTTTTCTTAGCTGACTTTTAAGTTTTGGTTTGCTTTTTGATGATTTTTGGTTACTTTGATCTCTTGTTTGTTATTAGGGTTCTGGAAGACTGTCGAACTGCAAAAGGTGACATAGAAATCGGTCTTTATACAGTTGAAAGGAAGAAAAAGCCATCTTTTACTACCCAAAGGGTAAGTTTAATTTTGCAGTACTTTGGGGAAAACTATTTGCAGATATTTCTAGATACCAGGTTTTTGAAAGATGGCACTTAAGTATAAAACACTGCTTTTAAAAAAAATTTATTAAAGAATCATTGTTATACATTCTTATGATGGTGTTTGATAAGCAACACATGGTTCAACTTTCACCCATATCAACCCCTCCAGTGTGGTCACTATCTATCATGTAGTAATACGTTATACAGTCATTAATTGTATTTTCCATGCTGACCTACCATCCCCATGACTTACCAATATTGTGACTGTGAATTATGGTGCCCTTAACCCCCTTCTTCCTCCCGACCTGCCCTCCCCAACTCCTCTCTTTTGGTAACCACTAGTTCCTTCTTGGTGTCTGTGAGTCCATTGCTATTCTGTTCCTTCTGTTTCACTTTGTTTTTATACTCCACAAATGAGTGAAATCATTTGGTATTTGTCTCTCTCTGCCTGGCTTATTTCACTGACCATAATACCCTCTAGATCCATCCATTTTGTTGTAGATGGCAGGATTCTTTTCTTTTTATGGCTGAATAATATTGCATTGTGTATATATACCATGCTCTTGTTATCCATTCATCTACTGATAGACACTTAGGTTGCTTCTATATCTTGGCTATTGTAAATAGTGTACCAATAAACATAGAGGTGCATGTGACTTTTTGAATAAGGGATCTTGATTTCTTTGGGTAAATTTCTAGGAGTGGAATTACTGGGACAAATGGTATTTCTATTTTTAGTTCTTTGAGGAACCTCCATAAAGCTTTCCACAATGGTTGACCAATTTACATTCCCACCAACAGTGTAGGAGGGTTCCCTTTTCTCTGCATCCTCACCAGCATTTGTTGTTTCTTGTCTTTTGGATGTTGGCAATCCTAACTGGTGTGAGGTGATATCTCGTGGTGGTTTTCATTTGCATTTCCCTGATGATTAGCAATGTGGAACATATTTCCATGTACCTGTTGACCATCTGAATTTCTTCTTTGGAGAAGTGTCTGTTCAGGTCCTGTCTCCATTGTTTTTTTTTTATTTTGGTATCACTAATCTACAATTACAGAAAGCACATTATGTTTACTAGGTTCCCCCCTTCACCAAGTCCCCCACACATACCCCTTCACAGTCACTGTCCATCTGTGTGGTAAGATGCTGTAAAATCACTACTTGTCTTCTCTGTGTTGCGCAGCCCTCCCCGTGACCCCCCACGCACTATACATACTAATCGTAATGCCCTCTTTCTTTTTTCCCGCCCTTATCCTTCCTTTCCCTCCCATCATCCGCAGTCCCATTCCCTTTGGTAACTATTAGTCCATTCTTGGGTTCTGTGATTCTGGTTCTGTTTTGTTCCTTCAGTTTTCCTTTGTTCTTATACTCCACATACGAGTGAAATCGTTCGGTACTTGTCCTTTTCCACCTGGCTTATTTCACTGAGCAAAATACCCTCTAGCTCTATCCATGTTGTGGCGAATGGTAGGATCTGTTTTTTTTTTATTCTGGCTGCATAATATTCCATTGTGCATATGTACCACATCTTCTTTATCCATTCATCTACTGACAGACATTTAGGTTGCTTCCATATCTTGGCTATTGTAAACAGTGCAGCGATAAACATAGGGGTGCATCTGTCTTTTTCAAACTGGAGTCCTGCATTCTTAGGGTAAATTACTACAAGTGGAATTCCTGGGTCAAATGGCATTTCTATTTTGAGCATTCTGAGGAACCTCCATACTGCTTTCCACAATGGTTGAACTAGTTTACATTCCCACCAGCAGAGTAGGAGGGTTCCCCTTTCTCCACAACCTCGCCAACATTTGTTGTTGTTTGTCTTTTTGATGATGGCGATCCTTACTGGTGTGAGGTGATACCTCATTGTGGTTTTAATTTGCATTTCTCTGATGATTAGTGATGTGGAGGATCTTTTCATGTGCCTGTTGGCCATCTGGATTTCTTCTTTAGAGAACTGTCTATTCAGCTCCTCTGCCCATTTTCTAATT